TATAGAAATATTTTTTTCCTACATCAATTTTTTATCTTGTTTGAATTCAACTCATATAAATCTAGATTGATGCTATTAATTGATTGAATCTATTGTCTTAAATCCTCAGGTATAGATAATAAATTTAAATAAGAGAATCATGAAATTCGAAAAGATATTACTAACTGGATTAGAATCTAATTATTTAGATTAATATAATTATACTAAACATTGAGGATATTGTAATTGTCAACTCAAAAAAATTTCAGAAATATTTATAAAAAAAGGGCATTTCTGCTGTAATAATTTAAGTAATTCTTCAAAATCCCAACAATACATATTCAATAAATTATATCCTAAACCAACTAAATACAAGGACATTTTTAGAAATCAATTTAATTCATTCTTTAATTAATTTATCAACTTTTCTCATTTTATTTATAATTATTCAAATTATTTCTTTTAATTTATACTCCTTCTGTAATAAAAATTTAATTTATATTTTACCATTAAAAATTCAAACATACACACTCTAAATCTTAGTGTAAACTTACAGACTTTAGTTTAGAAATTAGGAAATGTGGACTATGAATTGGCTGAATCGTTGCTAAAATTACTTTATGTAGAATCACATGGCTTTGCAAATTTCTCATTTAATCTTTTCATTTCCTTTAAAATGTAGAGTATAATTTTTGATTATAAAGAATCAAATTCTTGAATATGATTAAAGTGATTTCTAATTTAAGTGTTAAAAATGGATTAATAAAAGATTAAAGAAAAATCAATTAGATTTTTTCACTTAAAGTATTTTTATGAAACAAAAAAATTAGGATAATAATAATCAATAGCCAAATTATGAAAAGTACTTAAGATTTTCCATTATTATAATTATTTTAACTTTAACCTTTATTAAAGTGTGATATTAAGCAATATCTAATATTACTCTAAAGGAAAAAGTGTCTAAGTAAGATTAATTAAATTTAGATTCTAAATCAGTGGTATGTATTTGTAAAATACTATTGTAAAATATTAATAGAAGAAATTAATGATAAAATAGGAGAGAACAATGATTAATAAATAAAAGAAGTAATTTTAAGGAGTTGCTTAAAGATTAAGGATAAGCGCAGTTATGGAAAAACATGAAAAATTATTCCATAAGAGAAGTTAGTAAAATAAAGCACAAAAATATCTCCATATTTGAAATGCTTTTTTATAATTTATTAATGAGTTAATCCTATAAGAAACCAACAAAGATTGTTAGTATAAAATGACAATAATTGGATCTAATAAAAATGTGAAAGTGGCAAAGTTCTATTAATATGATGACCAACGAGAGGGAGGTAGAGATTATATGAATTAAGAGAGAAAGGAAAATTAGTTAATAAGTTTTTGGGAATGATAATATTCAAGAACCCTAGAATAATATAATTTTATTATAAATAGAAGAATTTTAAGATGGAATTGAAATAATTAAAAAATGCAAAACAGCAGACATCATTATGGAAATATAAATTTAAGAGGTAGAAAAGAAAGGATATTGTTATAGATTTAAATCATTGTATAAGTAAATTAAAGCCTAAAGAATTAAAAAGTAAATTAAATGTGGAATTTTATAGAGATGAGGCATAGATGTATAGATGTGATAATTCTTGATATGGAAGATATAGATATGAAATATGAATGAATATAAAAGTATGAAAAAGATATTAGAAGTAACAGATTGTGGAATCTTTTGGACATATGATGTTAATTATTTTGGTATATTAGAAGAAAGAGAATAATCAAAAAAGGAAAAACTAAATTAGTTACTGAAGAGAATAAAATAAATTATGTTCACTGCTATAAAGAAATGATTAAAAAAATTAATGACTAGATTGATGTATAGGTTGAAGTATTATTATTAAATAGATTCCATGATTTAATTTCACAATCTTTAGTAAGAATATTTTTGAATTGGAAGAAATTGAATTAATGTTGTGTGATCTTTTTGAGATTGATCATAAGATTATAATATTTGTATTTTTAGTTGAAAAGATAAAAGAGAATATAGAATATTATGGATATGATAAAGGAGATAGAGTTATAGAATAGTTGTTGTAAAGTTTTGATACAAGTAATAGAGCTGTATAAAAGGTATTTCTAATTTATTATTATCTTAGTAATTTCTAAAGTTACAAAAATATAGTTCCATAAGAAATCTTAAAGTCAATTTCGAATTACCTACAGGTATAATATTCAATCTGTTAACTACTAGCTTTCATTAATAAGACTTACTTGAATATTCAGCTAGGTAAATTTTAAAGGAAATTTAGAACTGCCAATGATGCAAGGAAAGAAAGGTTTTGATTTTGCTTGATATCAAATAATTTCTTTATTTTAGTTTATTACTAATTATTATGATTGGAAGACCTACAAGAAATAGAAATGAAAGATAGTAAAATTCTCAAATTGCTGAAGATTATAGAGACAATAAAAAGAAAGAATTAAAGATGTAGTAACTTTAAGAGAAAAAAATAAAATTAGAAGGATGTTGAATCATATTAAAATAAAATATACACAGAATATCAGGATGTTATTTTGCTGAATATGAGAATGCTGCTAGAATTAATTTAAGAAAATTAAAAAAAAGAATGGCTTAGGAATTGCTTATGAGTAAGAATAAAGATAGATTGTCTGTTGAGTTAGAATAAATGCTCTTACAAAATATAAATCAAATCAATAAAAACAATTAAAATTAAAATTGGTTAGATTTATACAATCAAAACTAATATTTATGATGATTAATTTAAGGTTTTGGAGTTAAAGGATCCAACCAAATTACATTTTAATCTTAAAACCAAAAATATCAAAAAATTAAATAAATAAATATATAAATATTAATATTGAGTATATTTCAAGGAAATTTTATTTCAAATATTAGTAACTAGAAAAACGACTTAAATTAAAAAGTTACAATGAAGATTATTTTATAGAATTTATAAAAAATAAGAAATTAATTAAGTCAATATTTAATTATTAATCCATTAAATTTATATAAAAATACTTTTTCAAAAGCATATAAAAAAAATCTAGGTTTATTTGGAATAAAATAGAATAAACTTGATTTTATGAATGACCTAAAGTGATATTAATTTGTTTTTTTCTGTCTTATACATAAAATATGTTTAAACAAAAATTTTATTGAAAGAAAAATAAAGCCATTGCAAATATTGATATGAAAAACAGAAGTAATATTTTCTTAAGTTTAAATAAGTTATATACTTATCATTCATGCTTGATATATAAATATATTAACTCAAATTAATATATTTAAAGTTTACCTAAATAAAGTTATAAAATAATCAAAAAATTCAAAGTTAAGTGATAATCAATTAATAAGTTTTTTCCAATAGATCTTAAGCTTATCTAAATGTTATAGCAGCTAAAATATAATTGGATATTAAATTTCTTTAAATTAATCCAATATAAAACAGTAAAATAATTTAAACTAAGTTCTTAAATAAAGCTTTTTTTCCAATAAAAATGCATGAATTAATATACTATTTAGTTTAAATTAAATTTAATTAATTTAATTTTGTTTACTTTATGAAAAAATAACATATAATATATAATATATGAATCACCAAAAGCATAATTTTGTCATCTAGACCTACATAAAATAATCAATTTTTTATAATATATTTATGATTTTTTGAGATAATTAAATTTTTTTTAATCATAATTTCTAAATTTAATCATGAATTTCATGGCAGAAATTTATATTTATTATAAAATCCTAATCATCAAATCTTAACTTCTATTTTATCTAATATGATTTTCTATATTAAAAAAAATGTTGATAAGAAAGGATTGAGAGCAATTATCTCATTATTTAATATCTGAACTCAATCATTTATGATTAAATGTTTGAAATAAAACGAACTTTTCTTGATTTTTTCTACTTCTAATTATTTATATTAATAAAAATTTTATGCCCTCCCTCAACCTTCTAGATTTCTTGCACAATTTTATTTTATTAGATCACCGATCTTAAAATATTGAATTATTTCTTCTATACATACAAATTTCAAATTCTCCAAATGATTGTTATTTAAATCTGTACCATATCTTTATATGGATCTAACTTAAGTTATTTGAATTGACTTTAAATAGAAAGAGATTCAGTAGCTATATTTACTAATATAATATATTGAATGCTGAAGGTGAAGTGCTTTTCAACACTAAATTAATCAACAATTGATGCAATGAGAATTCCTTATCAAGATTAATTGGTTATGTCAAGATTTTGGAACCATATAATAAGTAATAGAGCTAAGTGACTCTTAGACTAAAAATTACAATTTATATATAAGGCACTATCATATGATGAAAGCAACATTCTATAATATTTTTATAGATAGAGGTTAATTTATTAAAATTTTATACAATAAAGTCAATTAAAAAATAGATATATGCCTATTATAAAACTAATGTTTACTTCTAAATAAAGATAGAATCCTCAAATAGAATACAAGGGTCCAAATCTGGAGTATTTATTTAACTTTTTATTTACTTTATATTATAATAGGGAAAAAGATACATTTTTAAACCTGCTTACATTAAGTTTCAGTTCTCTCACCCCAGCATTATTTGAAATTTACCTCATGTTCTTTATTCTTACAGTTAGGAAGAAAATGAGATATAATAACTGATTTAGGATGTTTATCTGATTGGATATCTAGCGTATATGGATGATTTTCTTAAATAATTACACCTTTGTAGATAATAAAATAATAGTTTGAAGCTAATAGACTGAAATAAATGAACGACAATTAAAAGGGCTTAAATAAATAACCTATATTAAAAATTGTCTATATTATTATATATTTTTTCGATGTAGACAATTGATCGTTAGATAAGATAAGCACTTTACTTTTAAAAAATGAATTCCCTAATGAAAATGAAATCTTTTTTATAAACGGAATACCTTTACTTTAAAATTGTTTTATAGATGCTGAGAAAAACCGAGTAGATGAAAATATCTTATAAATATCACAATTCCATGAATCTTTTTTTATAATTTATTTTTTGTCAATTAAGTTAATTAATTATTTAATTTATTTATAAATATGTCACTATTATTTTTTGAAAATTAAGATAAATAACTCTTTATTATAATTAATAGATTAATCTGTTCTTATTCATTTTTTGAAGATTAACTTTAAACATAATTTAATAGTATTTAAAAATTAATTGTTTAATTTATATTATTTGTAAATTTGGTTTAAAAATTGTTTAATTGCAAAAAAAGATATTTTTATTAATTATAATCTATAAATTTATTATTTATATAATAAAAAACATATTATTTTTCTCATTCATATAAAAGGGTTTAGTAGTAACCATTTAATCTTCTATCTAGCAAATCTATCATATTATGTATTAATATCCTTTTCATTAAATATGAACTATATTCTGAAATTTTATTTCTTTAAATTTATACCTAAAGAAATTTGGAATATATTGAAAAAGTATATAGATACAAAGAAGAATCTAGTTGATCTAATAAAAGTAAATTCTAATTTACTTAAATCAATATAAAAACAATCATAACTAAATTTAAGAGGCTATATATAAAATGATAAAAAGGACATATTTAATAAAGTAGCTGAATTTATTTAATTCATAAAAAATGATCAAGTTATTCAAAATGAATAAATATAATTATATTTTTGAGTATAGATTTAATTTAATTATATATATTCAACCATTATAAATTTTTTTCTCAAATCCTTAATGTTGTTGTAAATTTTATAATAGTCATTTAAATAGGAGGTTGTCATCTTTAGAGATTAATTATAATTCTCTAGTAACAATCATTTTACTATTTTCTATAATTTTATAATATTAATAATTTATTTTTCCTAGCAATCAAAAAACAATACAAAAATTTGTTTATTTTTT